AGCTCCTGGCACCCGGTGATGCTGGTTACTGGGCTGCTTGGTGGGGGCCGAGGCTGCCTTTCCAAGGTGAAGCAGTGCCGGGAATTCAATTCGGCTGGCTCAGAGGGTGTCCCGGGGGGCCAGCTGTCAGGAGCAGAGAGGATGCGCTAATGGAAGGCGTGGCAGGAGCTCTGAAGCTTTCCTCCCGCTCTCGGCTCCCTCAGGGCCCGCTGCTTCCTGCTGCTGACACAGTGCACTCAGCCATTTGGGAAGTGTTTGCTGAGCACCTGCTGAATGCCAGGCACGGTGCTAGGCTCGGGGGGCACAGCTGCGAGGGTGATAAGACCCCTGCCTCACGGGACTCCCTGTCTGGTGGGGGAGATAGAGAAGCAGTCTCACTGCAGAGGGGAAAGCCCAGCCCTGTGCCCACCCGCCTGAGGCTGAGGGATTCCTCCCAGGAGGCTAGGGTGGTGCTGAAAACAGAAGGTCTGGAAAGAGGCAGGGGACGTGTTTCAGGCAGAGGGAACCAGATCAGAGCTCGGATCCTGGTTCCACCCCTTCCTAGTCATGTACCTGCAGACTGGGTCCCCCTCTCAGGGTTGCTAGGAGGACTGAGTGAAGCCATGGCTAGCAGTAGCACAGGGCTTGGTGCACAGGGAGAGCTCTGGGAGGGGCAGGGGGGTCGTGGAGGAGGGGGATGCTGTTAATAAAAGAGCCCTAGAGCCTGGCTGGTGGGGCTCAGTGGTTGAGCATCAACCTATGAACCAGGAGGTCACAGTTTGGTTCCCAGTCAGGGCACATGCACGGGTTGTGGGCTTGATCCCCAGTGTGAGGCACTCAGGAGGCAGCTGATCCATGATTCTCTCTCATCATTGATGTTTCTCTCTCTCTCTCTCCCTCTCCCTTCCTCTCTGAAAAAAAAAGATTTCAGTTGGGCATTAAAAGACATAAGGAACAGAGAGGTGGAGGAATCAGAAAGGATATTCTACATTTCGACATTGGAAGAAACTCATGGGAACCTGGTGGGCCTAGGATGTGCAGGGGTGGGGAGGAGCTTGGAAAGGTGGGCCAGGTCTGGTTCTGAAGGGCCAGGGGAGGAGCTCGTACCTTTAAGCGGTCTGACCTATGACCCTGGCGGCAGCCCAGAGCTGTCTGCAGAGGCCAGGCCCCTGGAGTCAGCCTGCCCGGTGGCTTTGGTCCTCCCAGATCCCTTATTTCCCGAGTTGGGGCCAGCCTGGCACTGTTTTCTGGAGGAAGGCACAGGGCTCCAGCAATCTGCTCGCCTCCTACTAACATACTGGGCGGAGAAAGATGTTTTCCAGCACAGATGCCTGGCAGGGAGCCTCTGCGAACACGCAGCGACCCTCCCCCTGGCTTCCCAGGGTACCGCTGCTTAAGCGGAAAAAGAATGTTCCTCCACCAAAAAGAATGTTCTCAGGCTCTCAGAAGATCAGGGGCAGCAGTGGGAAACACGGGGATGGTGGAGCGGGTCTACGCTCTGCTTCCTGCCCCCGACCTCTGTGCTGCAATTGAGCTCACTGGGACTCAGTCTGCTCGTCTGTAAAATGGAACATTACCACTGACCTCGCCTTTACTTAAGTGGGAGCTCCCGGGCTACCTGCCGCCCCAGGGCCTGCTATGGGCTGGGTGCTCGTCTCCTTCCCCCACTCCGTGTACTGACCTGGTCCCAACATGGGGCCTCTGAGGCATTCCTGGTTCATCCTCTTGAGTTTGCTGAGCTGCCGATGGCGAACCCCTAGACCTTTGGAGCTGGGAGAAAGGAAGAACTCTGTCACCCACCAGTGCAGTCTCCCATTTCACAGGCAGGAACGCCAAGGCTGAGAGGGGAAGTCCCAGCAATCTCAGGCCCTGTCCTCCAGCTTCCCTGGACCACAGGGCCCCTCCCACCTCGGCCTCACCTTGTGGGAATCACACAGAAGCCTGAAGCCATGATCTAGATGGTTCCAGCCAAAGGATCTAGAAAATTCTGGCTAAGGGACACAAGCTCCTTGACCAGAGCAAAAGCCTTTTCCCCCTTATTTTAACCAGATCCCACAGCCTTGCCTTCTCCCCCGGAGCTGAGCTTGAGGGGTGGGGGGACGGGGGATGGGGGGCGGGTGCTGGGAATGGGGCTCTGAGCTCCACCAGCTCCCAGATTGCAGCTACCAGGACATTTTCACACGTCTGAATGCCAAGAGCTGCCTCGGGAGCCAGTCTGCTTCCAAAGTGGGCTTTGAAAGAGTGGCGAAGGCTCTGGACGGACGGCCCTGAAATCTGTGAGCTCAGGCTGGTCTTAGACACGGGGTGGGATTCGGTAGCAGCCAAAGCAAATGGCAGGAAGTGGGCATGAATGGGGGGGTCTGCGGGGACCACCTTGAACACTGAGCGAGTGAGCGCCCGACCCTTCTAGATCTCATTTTCCTCATCCGGATCATGGGGATAAACACCTCCCTCCAGGAGCTGTAAGGATCTGGGGAGACAACATCTGGGGGTAAAGTACCCTCAGGTCAGGCAGGGATTCATCACCTAAGATGCGGTCGATAGTGGGATCACGGCTCGGGATGGGCAGGGTCACCCGGGCAGCAGGAGACCTCCATTTGAGGGGGCAAAATTAAAATCCTATCTGGGTGACACCAATCTGTGGGCGGGTGGCCCCTCCTGCTCCAGACGGTAACCATGCCAACGGTGTGAACGCCGCCGTCTCTTCCAGAACAAAGCCAGGGCTTCTTTTTAATATGTCCCTTGGTGTCCAGACTTGTCGGGGAGCTCAGAGTGTCCCAGAGTGCCCGAGAGGAAAAGCAGGACGTGCCTTTTCTGGGTCACCCATTCACTGGGCTCCGGCAGAAGGTGCTGGCGATGCCTTGCAGATCCGGTCCCGAGCGAGGAGCTGTCAGTACCACTGGCTCCGGCGGGAGAGCAAGGAATTGTTATCAGCTGTGATGGCCGGCGCTTCCCGTTGCTGGCCCCAGGCTGGCCCGGGACAAACACAGTCTTGCTGATCCCCGACCCTAAGGGACAGGGGTGCTTAGTCCCATTTGGCAAGTGGCTCTGCCCAAGGTACTTACTCAGCCCACCAGGTACCAGGCAAAGAGGGTTCTAACCAAGTCCAGACCCTTCTCCCCCATCACACCACACGCCCACCCTCCGGTAGCCGCGGGGTTCCCTCTGTTCCCTGCGTAAGACCTGCACCAGGTGCAGACACAGCAGACCTGGCCCCCGCTCCCCGCCCCCCGCACTGGGGACCTGCTCTGAGCTCTGTGGCAACACAGCCTGTCTGACCTTAATCATCAGCCCCCTTACACCTGGCTCAGCCCCCCTATACCTGGCTCAGGAGTGCTCTTTGGAGGTGTTCAAAGGCCACATTTCTTTTCTTTTTAAATTTTTTTAAAATTGATTTTAGAGAGAGAGAGAGAAGGGATTGGAGGGGGGCAGGGAAGAGAGCGAGAGAGAGAGAAACATCGATTTGCTGTTCCACTTATACATGCATCCATTGGTTGAGTCTCATATGTGCCCTGACTGGGGATTGAACCCGCAACCTTGGCATATCGGGGCGATGCTCTAACCAACTGAGCCACAGCGGCCAGGGCAAGGCCATGCTTCTTGATGAGAACTGGAACCGTGGGAATAGGTGAGCTGTCGGAGGTGGCTGTCCTGGTTGATTTGGGAGGAATGGGGATCTTGGCAGCTCTCCCCATGGCTGAGGAACCCCTGCATTTCCGGGGAGGCTGAGAAGATCAGCCCACACAGGAGACAGGAGAGGAGTGGCCAGAGCAGCAGAGGGAAGCCAGGGGAGTGCAGGGTCATGAAAGCTAAAAGGCCAAGGAGGGGAGGACTATGAGTGACCTTGGATTTGACAAACAGAGCCCTTGGTGGCCACAGTGGAGGAGTGGAGGTGGCAGGGTACGCTGAGCTGAGGGTTGGGTGGAAGGTACGGAAGTGGAGACTGAAGTTTGGTGAGAAGGGGAAAAAGCTCTGTGGGAGGACCGAGTCCCCCACGCATGTCACAACAATTAGCATGAGAATTGACTTTGATTAGAATGCTGCCCTCTACCTAATGTCCACTGTGTTGAAATCCATCTCAGCCCAACGTGATTAGAAAAGCTAGAAGGGCTCTAACCCCTCTGAGAGTTGGAGGAAACTGGGGTCCCCTCCGGTGCTGGGAACCCTGGCCTCACGGAGGGCAGGGCTGGTGGGTGACAGTTACTATTTACTGGGCTCTGGAAAGATATTCACCGGGGAAATATAAGCCTGTTTGTGAACCTCGATTCCATGTGTCGTTAGCAAACACAACGCTTCCAAGCCTGGTGAAGCCTGGGGTGGGGGCTCCTTCCACACCCACAGGCAAATCCTACTTCATGGGCACTGCGTTCCTCATGTTAGCATCACAGCCAAGAGGAGGCGCCCCGGAGGCTGGAGACTGTGCAAACCGGGGCCAGCCTCCCTCCCCCCGCCCCCCACCCCGCTCAAATCTCAGTTTCCTCTTATGCTAGATAAAGGGTCAGACAGTGGTTGACTACATATATAAAATTATATATATATAAATTATATATATATATAATTTTTTTTAGAGAGAGAGAGGAAGGGAGAGGGATAGAGAGTTAGAAACATCCACAAGAGGCGAAGTCATGGATTGGCTGCCTCCTGCATGGCCCCCACTGGGAATCAAGGCTCAACCACTGAGCCACACCAGCTGGTGACAGTGGTGACTTTTAAGTGCCCTGCCAGCCTTCCTTGGACATCCCGAGATTTCTATTCTAGTGCTCTTAGCAGTCCTTCAAGTCCAATTTCCAGAGGGTAACGCTCAGGTCCAGAAAAGATCCACTTTCCAGTTACTCCCTTCTCCCTTCTAATGCAGGGCTGTATGACTTACTCTGTAGGAACCCCCCTTCCTGGTGCTGAGCACGCAGTAGGTGCTCAGTTAAATTCTCAGCGCCCAGGGCCCTTTGTCCTGGGCTGCTCTTTGCATGTTGTACTTAAGGTAGGGCCTGTTTTCGTCATTGGGATTTTCCTAGTTTTTCCAGGGCGGGCCCAGCCCAGGGCCTGGCACGAGGCACCCTCAGCATCTCAGCACCGAATGGCAGGGCTGGGAGGGGCTTAGTGACCAGCCAGCCTTTCACCCTTCTCTTTGGCACAGGAGGAAGTCCAGCCTGGGTTTGAACTCAGATCCTGGTCCCCCCACTCACAGGCTGTGTAACCTTGAGCAAGTCACTAGCCTGGCTTTGAAAGAACGGAGAGCCCAGCCGTGCCCACCTGCCGTGCCCACCTGCCGGGTGGGTTGTGAGGATGAAATAGGATTGTACCCTAAAGGCATAGCCTAGTGCCGGCCCCTAGTAGGTGTGTCCCTCCTCTCAAGGCAAATACAGAATGCCTAGCGCCTTTGATCAGGGTGGGGCAGGTCGCGCATTGATCTGGGTGTGTGTGCGTGTGCGTGGGAGGGGGGACTGTCCCCAAAGGCCGGACGCGATCTCGCCCGGGCCGGTGCAGGGTGTGGCCCAGCGGAGCCCAGCGGCTGCCGGGGCTCGGGGCGGGCGAGAGGGCTGGGCGGGTTCGACCCGCCCCTCCGGGCACTCGGCCTCCCGGATGCTCCAAGCACCAGGTTTATTTGCGTTTCGGGTCCTTCTCCGGCCAGACCTCTCGCCTGGCTTCGGGGGCGCTGTTCTGGGTGGGGTGCGCCCACGCGCTGCGGGCGCAGGAGCCACCCCCGCGCCCCCTCCTCCAGCCCGCAGTGCGCCCCGCGCCCCGCTCCCACCTCTCGCTGCGGCGGCAGACTGCAGCACGCACAGGGCGCATGCGCGGCTCGGGGGCGGGGCCGCGGCGGCAGCTATTTATAGTAGGTGACGTCACCTTGAAATAGACCGTTAGGGCCGGC